AGTGAAAACCAACTCTAGCCACTATAATTCAATGTGCTAACCACATGTTTATATATGGAAAGCGAAAATTAACACCCTGTCCCATCCCACCTCCAGCTCCTAATGTTAAAATGGCTTTTCTACGATGATGATGAATTTGAGTTTTTCAAATTGCTTCACTGGGACTAGTTGGACATATTATAAAGACATTTCATGGAAAAACATGGCTCAAATTCACCACAAATTTGAAAAAGAAAAAATATAGTAGCCCAATACCAAGCTGTGGGGGGAATGTCTTTCTGTACACTGCAAATATGTGTTGCTCTGATTGGTTGATAAATAAAGCCATTTGGCCTATGGCAAGGCAGTTTAGAGGCAGGCGGGAAATTCAAACAGGAAGAAGGCTGGGGGAGACGCCAGGAGCCGCTAAAGGAGCAGCATGTAGTGGCACACAGGTAAAGCCACAGAAAGTGCGGTGACATATAGATTAACAGTAATGGACTGAGTTTAAGTGTAAGAGCTGGTCAGTAATAAGCCTGAGCAAATGGCCAAGCAGTTATAATTAATATTAAGCCTCTGTGTGACTATTTTATAAAAGGCTGCAGACTATGGATGAGAGATTTGTCCCGACCACAGGCCAGGCAGGACACAGAAAAACTTCTACTACACCAAACCATTATACTATAACAATGAAGAATAGTCTTACATGACAGTCATCCAGTTCATCCAACAAATGGAGCAGTTGGGTGACACACATCTCTATAGTGAAGAAATTAAGAAATTGTCTTGCCAAGTTTCTCCTAGTTTCCACTCCAGCCATGACATGTCCCTTAGTACCCCTGAAAGCTCTTGCCCAGGGACTGTCACTGTCTGGATATATCAGGTATTTCCCTTTAAAGACAATGTGCAGGTTGGGAGTCACATCTCTAGTATGCAGATCATAAACACATGTTTAAACTAATCTGCCTAACAATATGAAACTATTATACACTGCAGAAATAAAATTAAACATTGTCAGTATCTGTTCTTTAGTAGCATACAAGCATCTTTTTTTAAAATTCAGAGTCCCTAAGCTAGAATTTCAAGAAACATACTCCTTAGTCTTTGACTATAAAGTCATCTCTGCAAGATTTTTATTATTCCCTCTTCACAGGCAGATTGCAACCCTGCTAAAAGTGTTAGGCTCAAGTTGTAGCATGAATCTTAAATGGTCTTATTAATAAAACAAACCCAAATCCAGGTATTGGGGTGAACGCTGGAAGATCAGAGAGATAGGACAGGCCACAGCTACCTCACCTTGCCAGTTCCTCAGCTGATCCTGTTTCCTCAGACTGGAAGCCTCTGAGTCCTCATCCAGAATGAATCTCAGCTGAACTGCTTCTCAAAAGCCTGAATGCTTAATGAGCTAAAACCTTCTAGTTTCTGGTCTTCACACCTTATCTACCTTTCTGCTTTCTGTCATCACTCCCTGGGATTAAAGGCTCACTTTCTGGGATTAAAGGCGTGAGTCACCATGCTTGGCTGTATCCTTAAACACACAGAGATCTAGGTAGATCTGGAATGCTAGGATTAAAGGCGTGTGCTACCATTGCCTATCCTCTATGTTTAATATTGTGGCTGTTCTGTTCTCTGACCCCAGATAAGTTTATTAGCGTGCCCAATATTTTGGGGAACACAATATCACCACACTCAAGTGAACATAAATGGCATAAAAACATAAGAGACTATGAAATACAAACAAAAAAATAAGGTCAGCCTGTGTGATGTGCAACTTGAAAAAGGAGTCTCAAGGCATTTATTACTCAGGGGTTCAGGAATGTCTTCGGGTAAGAATATTCATTCTTCTCTGAATTTATCATACAGTGCATCCTGGGGAGAAGGATGCACAGTAAGAGGTTTAGCTTCAGAGGCAGCAGACTTGATAAATAAGCAGAGTGGCAACTTGGATGCACATCCACATCTACGTCTTTACCAAAATGCCCAGTCTCAAGTGCTTCCTGCTTCAGGTTGATGTGAGATACATGAGAACAGCGGGGCTCAGAGTTAGCTCTGGAGCTGGCAGGATCAGCATCACATATGAACCTACCATACACACCACACAACACACACACACACACACACACACACACACACACACACACACACACACACATCACTCACATGCAGTCAAATACCTGTGTGTTGTTCAAAGAACTGGAAAACAGCCTTTATTTTCTCTTTACTTGAAGCATCTATTTCAGAGCATGTGCATGGCACTATGAAGAGGAATTTTAACAATCTCTAATTAAAGATTATACTGTTATCAAACAGTATATTTATCAAATGTATCAACAGTATAAGTATTGAATTATACTGTTCAGTATTTAATCCTTATTGGGATGTATTTACATAAAATCTTTCATAATTCAAATCACTTATTCAAGTCATGGCTTGAATTTTTTTCATTTGTTTATTTGGAAGAAAAGTTCATTCCACAGGTCACTGGGACCTCACCGTGACAAGTGTATGCAATTCTAATTTAGCTTATCTTCAGTGCTATCTTTGGGGGAATGGTAACCCAAATTCTTTGTTTTCAAATAGTCAGTAGAAGCAAAAAAAAAAAAAAAAGTCAATAAAAACAAGAATGTTCTAAACATATGCAATATCCACATCCAAGCTGAAATCTCTCCAGATATTGGCTTCAATCTCTTACATTTTTCAAACTCCATATGCAGTTCTGGCTTGGTAGAGACAATAGTCCACAGGCTTCAAGTACTACTGGCCAACTTAAAAACTGATCAGGAACAGGCACAATAAGAATATTGTCAGAAGCATTAGGTTCTTCCCACCTTATCTTAGTATCTAGGGAAGCCATTAGCAAGTTTTTTTAAAATCACCTTTTCTCAGTTCTTGAACAGTCTATAGCTGTGTGGCCTGGCCACTGCTCTGCATAGACATTGGCACTATCCCCTGAACCTGCATCTCACAGGACAGCTTCTCTGACATCATGGAAGCACACAGAGTAACATATTGCTGCATCAGCTGGCAGCTGTCACCTGTCAGAGGGTTTCAGGCAACAAGTGAGGCTGACTGGGCAACTTCACCTTCCAGAAGCAAGCTGCCTGACATCAGATGGATCTCAGGCTAAAGGGCCATTTCCACGTAAACCATTTCACAGAAACAGGTTCCAATCTGCTCTGCAGAGCATCTCTGTCCTTATCCTTGACTGCCTAAATGGCCGGGAAAGCTTGCGGGAAGGTGGTTTCCAAGAGCTGCTGTCCTTACCTCACCCCCACAGCAGCTCTGTTCTGCTCAGCTAATACAGTAAGTGTCCTCTCCTAGTAACCAGGCAACAAACACCAGCGTCACACACTGAGCCTAGTCACTAACGTATCAGATGATGTTTTAAAGTTCAGCCCTGCCCCACTGGCCTTCTCTGATGAAAAGCCACCTGAGGTCACAGTACACTTCATCCTCATCACTTTTCCCCAGCCATCTCCCAGATTCAGCTCATTCTCAGAGCTTCTTTATACTAAAATTTTCTTTTATTTCTTTGAATGGTTGCATTAAGATCATCATATGGCTTTGAATTGGTTATTCCAATATGCATCTAATATTCCTTGCAAACAGAAATGTATTTTCTATTTATACCCTTTGCTAAGTCTATATACCTATGTCATATGCATGCTGTTATGACTAGGTGCTCATCTTTCCAGGTATGTCTCAAGAGTACCCCATTTATGCTAATTTGTTCTCAGGAGACAAACAATACTCTTCATTTAACTGGTAGCCCATTAATACAAAGACAATTCAAATGCATATTTTCTTGCAGAGCTTAAGAAAAGAGCATAGGCTTTAGGACTGTAGAGATCAGAGTTCCCATCCCAGTGACCACATCTGTGTCACCTCAGGGAAGATACCCATGTCCACTGGGTCTCAATGTCTTTCCTTGAAAACTGGACAAATGCTTTTATGGGTCCTGGGGAAAGATACTATGTGAGTAGTCTCTACCCAGACCCTAAAGCAGTGTGCATTCCACTAATGACAGTTATCATTCAGCACAAGTTAGCAGAAGTGACAATTCTCCCAGTGAGTAATTCAAGCAGGTCACTGGACTCTGCTTCCTCAGCTCAGCACACACTGCTCCTGTGCTGGAATCTGTCCTTTACTCCTTATGCCCTTGTCCTCCAGATCCTTTGCCCAGTGATAGGCTGCTGCTCAGACACCTTCACACTTTCCTGGCCATGATTTCATTCCATTTTGCTGCTATCAGGGCTGCCCACCTCTTTGCTTGTACTTCTCCCTCTCCCCTGCCAATGGCATCTCTGCCTTAGCCCATTTGCACCAATCTAATAGTCTCCAGGGGAACCAGCCCTGTCCACTTTGACCCCTGCTGTGTCTGCAGCCTTGGATTGGCATAGTGTGAGTTTTTAGTAAGTAGTGAATTAGTAGTAAATAGATGCGTGAATGAATGTCATGAGACAGCTTTCTAAGGATTAAAAACCAAACTCCAAAGAAAGTGGAGGATAGTTACATTTATTATTTGGCATTCTTGTAATCACCTTTAAGTCTCCTTGAATTACTTATTTTAAATAATGAAGCCTGTTCCCAAAAGTTCTTAGTCTTTGCTTCTTCATCCCAAAGATACTGTATGGAATTTTCCCTCAACTCTTCTTTCCAATGTATAGCTGTAAAATCATGTTTGAAATCCTAATTCTTTTTGTTTGTTTGTTTGTTTGTTTGTTTTTCTGAGACAGGGTTTCTCTGTGTAGCTTTGCACCTTTCCTGGATCTCGCTCTGTAGACCAGGCTGGCCTCGAACTCACAGAGATCCACCTGCCTCTGCCTCACGAGTGCTGGAATTAAAGGCATGCGCCACCACCACCCGGCAATCCTAATTCTTAAATCAACTGCCTATTAGTCACTAAGATACTAAGGGAATCTTTGGTTGAAACACATTAATAATTTACTAGTAGCAAAGTATACTTTTACCCTACCTTGTTCTGATTTTTAAAAAAGGCACAAAGAATATGTATCATTAAATTCTAAGACAGGATTTTATATTAAAACTTGTCTGGGAAGCCACTTTCATGATTGCCAATGTGTCATTTTAAGCTGTCAAAGAACATTACTTACAGGTCAGTTTGTCATCTCTGAAGCAAAAATTATTCTGCAACCATCTGAATTAAAACCTTGATATCTAGCACTCCATTCAACTAGAAATTCAAAGAGTTATTGAAAAAATTATATCATTAAAAACATAATCTCACTTGTCTCAAACTTCACAACAGAAGTTGTGATTGAAGTCAACAAATGGATTCCTACAAATTTTTAAAAGAAGAATTGTGAGACAGAAAAGGCTCTACAAATTACATCTTTTGAAACTGAATTACTATAAAAACATGGAGAGGTTGCAGGAAAAAACAAAAACAAAACAGGAAGAAGATCAGACAAAACACAGAGTGAAGTAGAAGGACAGAGGTACCATTAGAGAGGGTGGTGTTAGAATTCTCAAGTAAAACCTATAAACAGAGTAAGACAATGGGTATGGATGTGTTTGAAAAAGAATAACTTTAAGGAGCCAAATGGTTGGTTTGGTCCCAACAGTCTTTGAGAGGACACTTTATCTTCCCTACTTAAAAAATTACTTCACAATGATATTCAAACACTTTTTTAACAAGAGTCAAGGTGGGTTTTCCCCCCCGCAACTTATTATACCAAGTTCTTTGCTGCCAGACCTATGATATTCAGCCCTTTAGACTCCTCTGAGGCAACTTTTAGAAATTTAGCAAGTCCAGTGACAGGTTCTAGAAGGCTGTGCCATCAAACTCACATTTTTCAGGATCCACATATTCAGCTACAACCGAGGAAAGGCACATAGCCTCCAAAAAATTCTGAAAATGTCTGTCTGATCCCTAATGCTGGTGAACCTCAGGGCTCAGTCCTTTTATTCCTTCTTGCTCTGTAAAAGGGCTTCATAAGCCTTCTCTGAACCGAAAGCTAAGTTCATATTCTAGAGCTCACAAGGATATTTCAGAGTCAGCCCTGGCTTTCTTGCTCACATTCCACACCCCACTTGGTAGAACACTCTGCTGCCTCTGGCTTCAGAGTACAGCTAGAATAGCTGATCTCACCTCCCCCGTGTAGACTTCTTGCTGTCCTTTGCTTGGATGGCTGCCACAGCTCCCAGTTGGTCCCTTGACTTTGAGATCCCATTCTCAGAACACCAGGCCAAGAAGTCTTTACAGGCTATAACGTTATTCCATTCCTTTACTTAGAATTATCCAGTGGCTCTCTATTTCAGTAGACAAAAAAAAAAAAAGAGCTAGAATTCTTTGAGGAGCCTGAAATGATGTGGTGGACACAGTAACGAACTGCTCAGATAAGTTCAGAATAACTTTTTCACCAGGTAACTGTAAATGCTGCAGGCAGACAGATCACAGCCACCACCATCCTCCAAACAGTCTTCCCAGGACAGATACAGGAACATATAAAGACCCAAATGCCTTACTCCAATCAGAAATACCCTGAAACAGGCCAGTCAAAGTCTAGTACTGAATGGGTCAGCTAGACTGGCCTTTATTCTCTTCTTCAATTCTCCATCGCAACCATACAGCTTAACCAATGACCACACAGTGTAACCAATGGCTGCACAACTTAACCAATGGCTGCACAACCTAACTAAGGACTCCACGTAGTATTCACTCCCAGAACCTGTATTTGGAGATCCTAGGCCATGGCACAGGACCTCCATAATCTACTTCCTGGTGTGTCTCTTACTTCAGACCTCACCAGTCTCTATCTGCTCCTTTACCACACCACAGGTGTACCTTCCACCACAGCCTTCTGTGATGTCTCCTCCCATGGGTAGAAAGTCTAGGGACAGTGTTAAGAGGAATAGGTCTCATTTTTAAATATATTTGTTATTCTTTCTGAGTATCTATTCATTTTGAAGAACTGACCTCAGTTGTTTAAAGTGTTTGAAAGTTACTTTTTTCAATGCATAAAGACAGTACTGTAATTATAAATGCAGATTCTGTGCTCAAACGGACCTGGGTTTGACTGTCTCTATATTTAACCCCATAGCTGTGTAACCTGGGCCTTTGTTCTTATCTGTGAAGAGAGAATAATGATATCACTGTCCTGTGCATGCTGAACACTAAATAAACATGAGAAGGACAAATAGTCATGCAAAGAGAAAACTGATGTGGTATGATCCTTAGAAAACCCATGCACCAAGAGTTATACTGAAGTGTGCCTGCATTCTAACTTACAGTGCAGGGTCCAGGAGATAATCGGAGATGTCTTGGACCATGACATTGTTCAGAAAGTGCTAACCCTGGAGGAGCAAGTATCACCAAGGGCACATAACAGCCTAGCTGAGGACACTTCAGTGTGTTGCCAGCAACACAGTCCAGGCAGTCACATGGCATAAAGGCCTAATTCTTTACTCTATCCACACTGACTTTAATTACTTTAAACCTTATTCTAATTTCTAAGTGAAAAAAATCTGAGATGATTTTGAGAGGACCAAGTAGACACCATAACAGGTTGCTCAGTCTCCTCTCAGATATCAGGCCTCAATTTCAGTTTCCTGAGACTGAACAAGGAGTTACTGAAAGAGCCACAAACAAGTACAAACAATCTCCAACACTCCCCCCCCCCACCCCCCAAGACCAAGGGTGAGGAGGCCTTCCTGGTACATGGAGTACCAGGTCAGGCCAGGCCTGAGCCACAGTCAACAAGCTCAAGGTGATAATCAAATAAGGACAAAGCCTGGGACTTGTCCATGCCTGCTCAAAAACGGCCTGACCACCCATCAGCCCTAGCCAATTAGAACGTACTAAAATGATTGTTACTTGCTTAAGCCAATCATAGCTAAAGTGACCTAACTGCCCTAGGATCTCCCCTTGGCTATGCTTAAAAGGAGCCTCAAGCTTCTCTCAGGGTCATCGCCATTTTGCCTTTGTGTGGGATGGTTAGCCCCAGTATACTGGAATCTTTCTCAAGATAATAAACACTCTTGCTAATTGCATACATGGATGATGGTCTTTTGTGGGACTTCTCCAGGACCCTAACAACTTCAAATATCTAGGTATATCTGTTAAACCATGTCTACTTATTTGAGATAGGAAGCTAAATCTTTTTATATACTTCTAACCCAAAGTTCTCATAATTATTTCCATTTCTGTGAAAAAAAATGAATTTTACTTTGCTTACAAAAACAAGTACTAATCTCAGGTATTCTTATGCTCTTTCCACTCATATAAACAGAGGGAAATATTCCACATGCTTGGTTGATTCAGTAGTTATGCTAGAGGTCCAAACTGCCAAGCAGAAATGACAGCCACCCTCTAAACTGGCACTGGTGGGAACCACAGACACCTAGCACTGACCAATACATCATATATTTGACTTTTTAAATTTACTACAGTCAGTTTCTTAATCTCTAAAGATAAAACCTCTTAAGCCTATATTTAAAAGTATTAACAATATGGATGGGTGTGGTGGTTACACACCTGGAGTGCTAGCACTCAGGATGTTGAGGTAAGACCTCAAGTTCAAGGCCAATCTAAAATACATTCTCAAAAATGTATTAATTTCAAAAATGAAATTAATAACATTCAGTTAGAGATATCATTATTGAAAACTACCATTTTGCTCTGATGACACTGCATGGTGTTACTGAAAGTTTGTTACCATGTAATTAGAGTACCAAGCAGACAGACTTGGGAACAAATTATCCTAATCTTACAAATGCACCTACTGTGTGTGTAAAAATTCTTGCTTAAAATAAGACAAGTTTAGAGTTAATTTTTATTCTTACAGTGGTGTGTGTGTATGTGTTTTCTTTAAAGTAATGATCTACTAGAAACTACCTTGAGATTCCCACATCCTAATTCACAGACAATATGCACTATGCACTCCTCCGATTTTTCTTCATAGCTTTGTACAACTTAATATTCAGGCTAGGGAAACTAGAAATTTCCTCCAGGTCAAACAGTTCCTTAAATCTATCTACAAATTTGTTTTCTTTCTCCAGCCTGAATCTCATGGCCCAGATGATGATGGTAGTTTCTCTGCAGAGATGGTCAAAGGTCATGAGAAGCTCCTCCAGGAAAGGATGGGCATAGACAACATCTGCTGCCAGGATGTAGTCAAAGTTATTGGAAGATCTGGGGAAGTTCCTGTCTAATGCTACTCCCCAGCAGAGCTCTTTAACCTGGGGCAAATGCTTGCATTTCATTTTGGTGTTTCTGGAAATATTATATTGCAGGTTTCCAAGTAATTCAGGTAAATCTGTAGCAGTCACTCGAGCACCTATGAAAAAAGAATGGTAGGAAAAGCTCTTGTAATAAGATCAGTCAGGTTTCAACCAACATGCACTCAGATTCTTCACAACTGCTAGACCCAAAGAAAAGACTAGGCAACACATACAGAAGGACAGTGATTTTCAGAATGGACACTAATACACTTTTCTGCCCCTCCTTTTAAAAAAGAACAAAATCTTGTGGTATTTCTATATCCTGCTGACCCCCTGGGTTTTTGTCTAACTCATCATTGTTGTTCTCTAGCTCATCATTGTTGTTCTCCATTTAGGAGAAAAAATGACCACAAGAAGAAAAAACACCTCATTGCAATGATCCAATATCAATAATGAAGACTAAACAAGTACTTTCCAAAAAGAGTCCTAAGTGTCTTCATGCTTTGAAATTTGGTGAATAACATAGATTAGCAACAAACTACCAATACCATGCTGGCTAGCTTTCTGTTAACTTAACACAGATGTTTCCTTCAAACTGTTCTATGGCTAAGTCTGTAGGGGCATTTTCTTGATTAATGATTGATGTAGGAGGGCCCAGCTCACTGCAGATAGAGCAAGTGATCCTTAGTTATATAAGAAAGCAGGCTGAGCAAACCATGACAACCAAGCCAATAAGCAGCACTCCTCCACAGCCTCTGTATCAGTTTCTGACTCCAGTTTCCTGCCTGGAGTTCCTGCCTTTACTTCCCTTAATGATAAAATGTGACCTGAGAGTTGTAGATGAAATAAACCCTTTCCTCACCACATTGTTTTTGGTCCTAGTATTTATCATAGTAACAGGACCAAGGAGGACAAGTACCACAAAGAAGCTTCTGGATTTCACCAGTGTAATTAAGATAAGCAAACCTACGTGGAGAAATGACCCAGGTCTTACAGGCAGATCACCCATTAATAAATACCATTGGAATACAACACCAGATGGCATATAAAGAACTGTGGCTATTACAGAAGTCCATGCAAAGACACATGAAAAGATGCATAAGTGAACAAAGTGGAATATTCCAATACTCCTTGTCTGGAGATATGGTATTCTATTAGCCATCCTTCCATCAAGAGTTGGCTGAAGCACAGGATTTATCCCATGCAGAAAATAGAAGATTGTACAGTCACCTCTTTAAATGTATAAGACATCTGAAGGGAGGGGCCTGCATCATGGTATTAAGAAATAACCTGATTCTTCCAACCCTGAAGAAAGTTGATTTGCACTTTTATTTTTCTCCAACCCAAGAATAAACATGATCATCAAGGGTCAGAAAGAAAGAATTCTGAGCCTTATATGTAGGACCAAATGAGAATGGAAATGAAAAAGCAAATCCAGGGACAAACCCCTAAAAATCAAAGCTAAGGTGTGAGTTTCATGTCATTTCTAATACTCCTTCCCTATTTTAACAGATGCATGCTCATAAAAGTATAGGACTCCAAAACCCCAAAGGAATCTAACAAGATGAATAATTTCACCTCCTACCTAGGCTTGTAAGCTCTCATTCCACAGGAAGATTTAAAACTACTTACGTGGAAATATTTGGAAAGAAACCAGCAAAGCAATATTAACATTGGTAGAATTTCTTGATGAAATCTGTTTTAAACAATTAAGGAGGGGCTGTGAGATGGCTCAGCAATTAAGAGCACCTTAACTGCTCTTCCAGAGGACCTAAGTTTAATTCTCAACAACCACATGGTGGCTCACAACCATAGATAGTGGGATCTGATGCCCTCTTCTAGCATAAAGCCATACATGCAGATAGAGCACTCAGATAAATAAAATAAATAAATCTTAAAAAAGAATTAAGGAGTTACATATAAGCCCAGATCATAATACACTGGAAAGCAAAAATAACTAATGATATTTAGTCATTAGTTTCCTGACCAACTACATTCAATAAAAAAATACTTCCTTACCAAGTAAACTTGCCACAATGGAGACAAGCCCTGTCCCAGCTCCAATTTCAATCACATTTTTATCAACCATGTTATATTGCTTGGCATGTGTTTCCAGGAAATAGCATAGAACAAGGGCCTATGGAAATTGAGAGGAAAGGGTGTTTGAAGTATTAATAGTTAAAATCAAACTCTATTAGGTAAATATGCCATAGATATTATGATCTGCACATGTGTACATCTGCATATGAGTAAATTTGGAGGTGCTCATATACATAATTCCAGAAAAATTATGATAGAAGTACATCCTCTCATAGGTTTAACATTTTGGCCAGCTAGAAAAAGTCCTTGTTGAAAAGAAAGGCAGAAATGAGTGACAATACAGAGTGTAGTTGTTTAAATTTGACCTTATTCAAACTTCTAACAATACCAGATGATTCCAAGTAAAGTGTGAAGTTGGGGTGGGGAGTAGTGGTGGTCTGCCACCCTTCCTGAGATAACGGGTAAAGGAGTGGGGCCTTTGAGTATCCTGTTTGTGAGTCTCAAATAGACATCCTTTACGCTTGCTTAATTCAGAGTCAATAAAATGGGGAGTGAAAACATTTACCCTTTTCAACTCTCATAGTCATAAAAACTGAAGGCATTCACATCTTTATTTAGGTACAAATGTCAATAAAGTCAGAAACAAATTTAACTGTTGGAAGCAATTTCCCATTGCATAAAGTCTAACTTTTAGTGTTGTCTGAAATCACAAAATAGAATCTTGTAAGCTGTTGCCTTCGTCCAAGTAGAATATAACAATGAATAAAACTGGAGAGTAATTGGGTGCAGCAAATTTTAAATAAATTATACCGATGGCCAGACAACAGCACCGTAACAATCTTTGGCTTCAGTAATCCGAATCTCATGACCAGCAAAGTAAAAGCCTTCCCAAGAAATAGTTGTTATCAGAGTCGGAATAAAACTTCTTGCCATGATCTCTGCAACCACCTGCCCGTCATCATCACCTTCTCTGATCTCTGCAAGGAAACAAACATACAAACAAACAAACAAACAAAAAACAGCACTGGTTTTAATCATGCTAAATGAAATAAGCCAGGACCATGAGGTAAATATTGCATGCTTTTCCTCATGTGAGGAGTCTAGATTTAAGATTTAATCAAGATTTCCTAGATTGTTAGATATGAAAGTAGAAGAGAGACTGTGTGAAAGGAGGACGGACTAATGGAAGAGGAAAAGAAGAATGAAAAGAAAGGCAAATATTTTATGTTATATTCTATATGTGGACTCTAGATAAGGGACTGCTTGGGAATATGAAAGGAAAGAAGTGCGGAGAAGGGAGCCAAGGAAAGGTGATATGGAAGGATATGAGTTGAATACGGTGCAGGCAAGAGAATATCAAAAAGGAACTCATTGTTTTGCATGTTTACAGAAAGTAATAAAAAATATATATTTTAAGTACTAAAAAAAGAAAAACCTGATGGAAATACAGCCCTTCTCAGTTCAAGGTATTGTTGAATGCTCGTTGACTTTAGATGAAATAAACTAGCAAACTATTTAAAAATTCTTGATAGGGACAAGATGGTTCAGTGGGTAAAGGAGCTTGCTGCCAAATTGAGGGCCCAAATTTAGTCTCTAGACTGAATATGGTAGAAGGAAAGAGCTGACTCCCCCAAGTTGTCCTCTGACCTTCATTCCACACCTAGACTGTGGCATACTCATTTCACTCCTACCTTCAATTTAAAAAATGTAAGAACAGAAGTATTTCATAGTTTAACTTAACTCTTCATATGTCAGGCCTTCACCATCTCTTTGATGTTTACTGAAGTTGATACCACCACCATCTATTTCTGCAACACTAAATGAAGCACAAAATAATTGATATGGCTTTTAAAAACAAGTCTTGAGAGCCATCACTGGGTTCGACTGGGTTAAAAGAAAGATTGGTGGGAGTATAAGATCTTGATTCTATAGCAACTTCACAGTACAACTCCAAGTGTCTTGGTAATGTATAGTAACCTATACTTTATGACCTCTGGTTATTCATAAAAACAAGGATATTTAATTCTACTCAATAATATACTCCTGCACTGTTTATAGTCACGTGTCTTTATGTTGTTATTTTGGTACTAGACATAACATCGTAACATCAACCACCCACTCTCCTTCTCCCACAAACATTGGTCCTTAGAGATGCAGAGAAAGCAGAAAGATGAAAAATGGGTATTCTTCAGGAAGAGCAGTGTCCTTCAAAACATTTATCTGAAACTCTCCTTAAGCAGCCATAAGCATTTGCATTCAGGAACCAAATGATACTGGTAATGTTTTGTTGAACTCTAACTTTCACCTCTCTGTATGCACTTGGTGTGCTAAGATTGACAGGGTGATGGTGTCAACATTCGCTGCAGAAATTATTTAGGAAAAAGCAGACATTAATTGCTTCCTTGACCTTTAGCTGAATAGCTCCTCTTGGGCCTCCTTGCCTACTCCTGATAAAGGTAGCACTCCTTTGACAAGTCACCTAAGGCACTAGGGATCAATAGATGGTAGAGTATACCAAACCCCAGGAGAGTCTCTAAAAGCTCCAGTCTTTGATATACAAGCTTTACTTGTGAGTATTTGCTGATAGAGTCTGATGTATCTGACTTTGCGTGTTATTATAATTTTAAAGATTAGTTTGACCATATCTGTGTCTAACAAGTGGGTGACAGCAAATGTGTCTCTGACTTTTCACTTTGTCTTTCTGAATAAACAGAGCAGATAATTTCGTTTTGATAGTGACAACAATTTTATTTCCATAAGGGAATGAAATTTCAACAACACAAATGAATGTTCTATTATAATTGAAAGTCAAACTCCCAAGATAAAGACCTTCAAAGAGAGTTTATAATTAACAACTATAACCACTCCTGATTGCTTAAAGACTCTAAGAGGGTCTATCCATCATATATGGCAATTTAAAATATGGACTAGTGAAATAGAACAGCGAATAAAGTGCTTGCTACAAAAGCATGAAGAGTACATGCAATCTTAATGCTAAGAAACAGAGACAGAGGATCCCTAGAGCACACTGGCTAGCCAGAATAGCAAAGTCATTAAAAAATAATGAAGAAACTGTTTTGCAATTATGTTGTTCTCCTGGGTTTATCTATTTCAAAACTTTTTCATACAAAATAGTCAGTGTCATTTTGCAGCTACTAATATTTGCTGATAGGGATTTAAAATCTACCAGGTGTTCTTGTTCTCCTGAGAACAAAAGTGATTTCAAATGTGAAGTGAAAATTAGCAAAATTTTGCCACATTTCTTTCAATAATGCTTTCCTTGAGAATTCAGCAGTGAATCATCTCTGTTGCTGGACTGCAGCCTTCAGAAGCAAAGGTCTGTCTATATTCTTTTTTCTATCTTTAGGGTCAACAGGAGATATAAAATGTGAAAAGATCACAGCAGAGAGAGAGAGAGAGAGAGAGAGAGAGAGAGAGAGAGAGAGAGAGAGAGAGAGAGAGAGAGAGACTGACTGTCTGACTTTAAAAGCTATGACAAGAGAATTCAAGCTTCCATTTGAGAGCTGTCATGAAAACCTGTCAGAAAATTTAAAGTACAAACCACCCCACTAAATGAAAGAAACTGTTCTTCAATTGAATCTTCTATTCAAAGAATGATAAGTGCTTTTGAAGAATACCTGCAGATTTTTTGAAAAAGTGTTAAAGATATTTTCAGATTCATAAACTGTCACAGGCTAGCATAAAAGATATGGTTCTGAACACTTTGGCAGCTCAAAATCTTGGGTTTTTTTTTTTTTTTTTTTTTTTTTTGGAAACTGACTTCTGAGAAGATTCCACAAATATTTCCAGTCTCTTGGTCTGCTTAGTTTCAATCAAACAGTCCAAACAATACTATATGTTATATTTTTAAAGAAGAAAAAAATCTTTTCTTATTGGGATTGTTCAAGATGCAAGTGGAAAACAAAAAGACAATGAAATTGTTGCACAGAGAAATTGATATTTGGATCAAAAAGGGGAAAATGCTAAATAAACATCAATGAAATTTGGTGATTATTACAAAAAAAGGCATTTCTGAAGTACCCTGGTGTACCCTGGTGGGTTGGCTGAATCAAGAGAAGCATCCTAAAGAAAATGACATTTGCAATCAGAGAATCCTTGCACAAGATTGGCCTGAGGACTAACACTGAGATCAGGCTTGGGTGCGGTGCTGCAGTCGAGAGCAATGTATTTGCTATACTAGCTGGAAACATACAATGATAACATGAGACTTACCCATTAATACATACTGAAGGTTTAAAAAAGCAACCTGAATAAATATTTTCCACATGTCAAATAAAAAGAACTTAAATTTACCAATCCAATCCACCTCAGATGTCTCCAAAACTTCGGTTTGGATGTCACTATTCAATGCCAATTGCTGTCCCCAATGGGTGACATACACCACTTCATAAACACAGGCTTCCTAATTGCTTCTCTGCTATGGCTGCTGCCTTTATCCAGGCTCTTACTGCCTTCTCTAACAGTCAACTTTTGCTCAAGGAATCCTGTTATCAGCCCACTTTGTTTGATCTATATTGCAGCTGACATAACTGACAGGTCTTCCTACCCTCTATCCATCTCCCTCTACTCCCTTGTGAGCACTTATGATGTAATCTAAAAGCTTTCCCATTTCTGTTCCTTTCTTCATCCCCCACCACAACCATTTATCCTAAATAAATCCAAAGCAATAGGTTTAGGAATCAGTGTGCACTGGGATCATGGAATATTGGGTGGGGATGAGGAGTTTGTCCCACAGCTGAAGATTCTGAGGAACTGCTATCTTACAACACTCTGCTAAATGTACTAGCAGCTCTGTGGGCTGTGGCAGGGGACAGGCAACACGATGTATTTAGAATAATTAAGATAAATGAAGCTTTAGAGAAGTTAGATTACTAGACATATACAGGGAGGAATTTTCAGCCCTCATCCTAGTCCTACTTTCAATCTGTGTATAAATAAATAATTCTCAGATGTTCCTGCAAGTACTGAAATATGAGAACTGAACTATGGTCTTATTCTATCTTTTCCAAGCCCACGACACTAAGTGTAAAAGGACAGGACAGATAAAGATCCTTCAGTACTTGAGAACCCAGTGTTCCTCTACTTGGTGGAAGCCTTGCCAACAAAACATCAACTAGCTTGGCTACAGCAGCACACACTTCATCTCCTTAGCACTCTGCATCTAAACGTACTTTTGCATTTGTAATTAGCTACACAGATGATTATGGGGTGCGTCTGCTCCTATTGTAGAATATTCCAACATTTGCTCTATCTCAAACTCATTTTGAACTACTCCCACTTCAGTTGTAATTTGCCAAATCATCATGTTCACATCTGAAACCAAGAATTGTTACTAATGGCTATGAAAATGACACAATTCTATTTATATAACACAGAAATTACATCTGCATTTAAATTATATGAAGAGCTGGGTTCTCTATGAGATTACAACCTAAACCTTTAGGTTTGCAAAGCATTGGCATTTAATTTAGGTAGGCTGCACCCAACTCTGTCTGTTTGCAAATATGCTCACCTAGGTAGGAACCACCTGTTAAACCTGGTGTGGCTCGGCCGGGCGGTGGTGGCGCACGCCTTTAATCCCAGCACTCGGGAGGCAGAGCCAGGCGGATCTCTGTGAGTTCGAGGCCAGCCTGGGCTACCAAGCGAGTCCCAGGAAAGGCGCAAAGCTACACAGAGAAACCCTGTCTCGAAAAACAAAAACAAAAACAAAAACCAAAACCAAAAAAAAAAAAAAAAAAAAAAAAAAAAAAAACCTGATGTGGCCCAAAGAAGTTATTTGAAAACATCTACAGTATGTATAGAGAAGAGGGACAGAAAGAAAATGGAAGATAATTTCATCTGTGTTAAAATACTCCACAAAAATGCAATTTTTCTAGTCTATGTAAGAATTAATACTTTTGTTTCAATGAAGATCATTATATTTAGTAACCTATGAAAAGCCATGTGTCATATTCAAGAAAGACTGTGAAAAGGTAGGCCAGTTTCAAATACTCAAGTTTAAATTCTTACCTCTAGGAGCCAAATTACATTATGTATTTTTGCCTCAAATCAATATCAAGATGATAAATACATGTTGGAGATACTTTGTAGCCTAAATTCATCTTTCATCCAAACATCATCAAAATATTTAGTTTTTATATAGAACTATTTTGCTCTCTCTCAAACTTTTAACAAATAATCATAATAATGTGCTTGGTGTATAGCATCTGTTTTAAAATGTCTATTTTTGCAGATGAAAGAAAAACTCTAAAATCTTTTTATGTCTTCTATAGATTATTATTGTTATGTCAAAATTATCCCTAATATATCATCAGGATCACTGGTGTTTAACAATATTCATTGAACATTACTGAAGGTATTTTTAGGTGAGCAAACATAAACCAAGATATAATTTGCAATTAATAAACCCTAGTTCCCTTTAAGGTATGAAGACTAAAAAAGTAAGGTTTTAGATTCTATTAATGGTTTCTCTACACAGAATTGGTCAAATTAAAAGAAGAAACAAAATTATTTACCTTTTTGAGATCCTGAATCCATCAGCTGCTGAATTAATTAATATGTTGATGTTTTCTTCATCATTTGCTGAATAAGCACATAATTCACTAAAATATCAAAAGCCAGTAATTGATTCAAAATGTGTAGTAATGTACTTATAGTTATGTAGCAGTTTAACTTCTGATGTAGTTGAGAAATTTGTAGTAAAATATCATATATTATAGCATGATTTAAGAGATGTCATAAACACTACTTAGTATCCATCAGAATCAGAGCAATGGCTTCATGGTCAGAAACTGAAAACTGTTATAGAAAAAGAACGTTATCCTCAGCAGAGATGACCTCAGCCATCACAAGGAAAGATGTAACTGCCATATTGACTAGAAAGATATCAATTCTAAATAAGTACTTTCAACATTAGGAAGAAATAGGTTGGTTCAGTACAGTATAAACCATGATATTAACTGAAAATAAATCTATCAATGAGTGCATAATTCACTCATTCCCACCAATGTGACATTAGCAAATTAGAATACCAACTAACTGAACCATCAGGTGGTGTTTTGGGTAAGTTTCTACCTTTATGCGTCCACATCACCCCAGTTTACAACAAGCCCAAGTATTGTATGCCATTCACTTAGAGCAGGTAAATGGAATAGGCTTAAATGGGCTGTTGGTCTCTGAAAACAATTAGCTATATCTACTTCTCAGTTTGACTTCACATGACAAACAATCCCAGTATTTCCATAAACTAATACAACACTCCTTTCTTCCAAAGATCTCAAGTAATTTTCCCAGCTACCATCTTTTTCTTTGTAGCATGCCTCTGTAAGTTAGAAGGCAAATTATTTCCCTACAGTTATACACAATAAAAAATAATTTAAATAAAATCATGGTCACACAGCTAAAAGAATAGCAAGACATTTCCCCCCAAGTTTTCCATTTCTCACATTAAAGGAGTATTTATTATACCTGTCTGCCTGGAGTATTTGGTCAATGGTAAGGCTGGACATACCTAAAAATGTTAGCTGAGTTTACAGAAGGTGAAATAGTACCATCCACAAGTTGTGATTTGCTGCTGAAGCCTCTGGTAATGCCTGCAAGGCTGTCTCCAGAGCTGGTCATTCGCTACTGTATACCCTGGCAACAAGTCCAAGCAGAAGGGATTAGGGTCCGACAGCTGCAGCTTCTGTGCCTCTGGTTGCGCAGCAGTGACGTTGCAAAGCCCAGAAAGCAAATGCTGAAGAACAGTAGGAATGTTCCATGACTACCTGGGAACACAGCTAGATCGTGAATACACACCACTCCTACAGTGAGACTGTAGGCTACACAAGAGGAAGCAAACTAAGTTTTCAATTCTGATGCCAAGAGTTATTCTAAGACTCTGTGGCTATGATAGAAATAGAGACCATGCAGTTTTTATGTCATCTATCTGGATGTGAAAACATATTTTAAAATCTAACAACTATACCAGCATGTATGTAGCATTGTTCTGCACCCAAGAATCAAATGACTACTATTCCTTCTCACTGAGGCTGAACGAGCAGGCTGGGATATGGTTCTCTGAGCATCTACACACCAGCATATAGGCATGTGCCTCAGGGCACACATAAATTCCCTTTCCCTGATAATACTAACTTTAATGTCACAGGAGGAATCAAAGCCAAGCAAGACTGCACACTCAGGAATGTGAGTACATCTAAGAAATACTTCTATACCATGATGGACACAGAGCTGAACTGAGACCATTTCATGTACAGGACAGGTCTAGGCATCACGAAGTCCAGTTTTCATTATTCATGGCAATAACTGCTTATGACTTGGGGCCATCTACTTACTATATTTCTTAGCTTATCTCATTTATAAAACAGGAATATAAAAAGTACAAGGTATGTACTTGGAGAATAAGTATTATAGGTAAAACATTCTTGGAATTCCAAAACCCTGAAGAATTCACACTGCTATGCAAAGGCAGTTAATTTTTCTCAGAGGACACACTCCCTTTTTGACTGTTTAAAACAAGAATGAATAATGACTTGATAAATAAAAACTATTTACCTCTTTCAGGGAGTTATTTGAAAGATCATGAAATCCCCAGTGCTAGATTTACAAGATGCAGAACTCCCAAATCAATTATGTTAACCAACATGACAATAATCATTTGTTACACTGAAAAGTACATGGAGACTGATGCCTCCGGCTGTGCCTTACAGAAGGATTCTGTCTCTGTTAAGAAAGCAAACATTAAACACATACACAGCTACACTCTCACCCACACAGATGCACACACTTCTGCTTTATGATATCACAGAGCTATCAAAGCAGCCAAGAATTCTAGGTATTACTGATTGTTGGTTGTTAAAATTTGGATATGTGTTCTCTCACAGACTCATGTTTGAACACTTGGCCCCCAGCTGTTTGAAGAGGTTGTGGAACCTTTAAGAGGTGGGTCGCCAATGGAGAAAGTAGGTTGCTGACAGGTAGGACTTGAAGTTTCAGCCCAACCTGAATTCCAGCTTGCTCACTAGCCCAGATGTGAGCAAACTTGTCACCAGGCCTACCCTACCACGATAGACTGTATCTCCTCAAAATCTGTTAAAAGGAGAAACCGTTCAGCAATGACGATGACCAGGTCTTGCAGATGACCAGAGTTTAGCTCACAGTACTCGCAGCCAACTATATCTCCTGTTCTGGTGCCCTCTAATGGCTTCCTTGGGCTCCTGCACTCACATAAACTCACAAGTCAAACATACATACCAATAAATTAAATATGTCTTCCTGCTTCCTTTAAGCATTTACCAAAGCAGTAAGAAACATTAAATCCTACTCTGGTGAAACAAAAAGGCTGAGAAACCAGAAAAAGGACCACACACAAGTATCCCCAGACAACTCTGGGCAACCTCACAGAACTGGAGAGACAAAGTAACATTTTGGGCTGGCAAAGAAGCCAGGAATTGAAAGCCCAAAAGAATGAGTGGCCATAGAAGTCCTCAGTGTTGACTTTACACTCGAGAGTTTGCTAACTAAACTGTTTCAGGGAACATGGCTTATTACTGAAGCAAAAGGAGACAAAAAACAAAAATTAGAAGAAAAACACCCAAGCCTCTTGTGGGTTCTCCTGAAAGCCATTTCCTAGGAATGAGGGGAAAACAGAAGCATAAGTGTTAGCAAGATTACAAACCAGACCTGAACCATGGAAGAGCCACCTCAGCACAGCTGCTTCTCGACAGACCTTCTGAACAGACAGCCAGAAAAATTTCTCCAGTTTTTCACACAGTCCAGCTGCCAAAGTTCACCAGGCAAACTAAGAAACAGTATGAACTCATAGGTGACTGAAACACAGACTTTAAAAGAACTGTGTTTAAGATGATACAAATAAAGAACTGAATATATGGCTTTCACAGCAAAATGCAGATAAAACTAAAGAAAAAAATTAATGAGCTGAAGGGTTACTTTATAAAGTACACGATGGTCATAATCCTAACTAAACTACAGATATGCCAATCCATTCTGAATAGTAAATTGCTTTTGCTATTATCTCAAACATACGAATTTATTTCATAAGGAAAAAAGAACCCTTGAAATTTTTTAGTATTAACTTGCTAAGACCATACAATGTTCCTCCATGATCCAGGCATGAGGCACTCTCCTATCTGCCTTGGAACAACACTGAGACACAGAGAATCACTGAGTTGCTGGAACTGCCAGACTGTGGACTGAAAAATTAGGATATTTCTCTTCTCATCTACGTCTGAGTCAGAGGGAATGCATATCAAGAGAGCACTCATTGATACAAACCCTTTCCTTTTCCTTAATGTGGTCTCAAAGCTTCAGATGTGGTAAGACAATAGGAACAATGATAAAGTAGAAAATGCCATACAATTGTAGCACACTGTCCATTTTAGCATCCATGTTTTAAAACCATACACTTTGCCCCTCACTGTCATCAGGCCTGTTGTGGGGCTGTTGACTCTGGGAGGCATTCGAGAGCAGAGCAGCACCCAGGGTCTACAGTTCATGAGGATTTGAATCATCCAAAATACTTAAAACTCTTTAAGTTGTGAACCTGTTACTAAAGAATATTTGTAAAATAAAAGTAAGTCAAAAAGCAAGGAACATTTATGAACATTGATTCATAAGTCTGTACTATTCTCTACACAGTAGCAATATTGACTGTATCTTCATTAAGGAACCATGCTGGGACTGTATCAAGTGATCTACAAATGTGCATTTTAAAGTTTTATCCACAGGTACAGGAACATGTCTATCCCTGTAATGGTGAACCAGATGAACTGGTTTGGTTACAGCTGTAACTATGCTACAGTTTGACCAAAACATATCATCTTTCAATTTTGTTTGTGGATAATAATATAGACACTAAAACAGACATATTTTCATGTAAGGTTTTTCTGTTCTTTGATTTTTAATAAACTTTAGAAACCAAAAAATAAAATAAAAATAAAAACCACACATTCAAAATGGAGATTGTACAAATAGATTTAATCTTATGTTCTCAATACATTACAAACATTGTTCTTCCAAATCACTGGCTTTTTAAAATTTGGCTTTCCTTTTCCTTTTCCTCACACTCCTTAGCTTCCCTTTTTTCTTCCCAAATACAGGTCTAGCAGTCACTAGCACGGCCTTGGTTTTGCCACCATCGCTCTCACTGGAGCTGCTAGTGGACATAAAACCATCCCTTCCGTGAGCATCTCTCACTACGTCAGGCAAATCCGAGCAGCTGACTTTTGACAACTCAGCTGTTCTTCTCTGTCGTGTGCACATCACAGATGAACCTTCTGCATCCTCACTTGAATCCCCAGGTGATTCTGAGAGGTGGGGGTCCCCCAAAAACCCACCACTTCCTGAAGACCTCCTTCTTTGGGGGACTGATGTCTCTCTTGGGCTCATTAGGCTTCTTTTTGGGGTTTTCCCTTTAGCCTTATCCAGGGCCTCAACCTCTTTGTCCAGCTCACTAGTTGCCTCTTCCTTTCCTTTCCTTAGCATACATGTCACAGCTCTGTTCAGCCTCTGGCTTTTTATGTGTTTGGCATCTTGTTTTTCCTGTTGAGCTAATCTAAAAAAGGAATCAATCCGTAGTTGGGTCTAAAATAAAACAAAACAATAAACCAGATTAGTGAGTAGTTTCTAGACCAAATCAATAAAGTTCAAATCTGATCACTCACACTGGATTACTAGTTTTGAGAATTAGGATTCATGACCTCCCATAAGTCAGTTTTGGCTCTATTTTTTTTTTTTGGGGGGGAACAATTGTATCCTCTTCTTTGGCAGCAACAGAATTTCACAGAGTCTATGTCTAAGTCATTCAATACCCTTCTTTTAAGAGCATTATCATCATACAGTGCCTATAAGGGACAAGTTCCCTGATGCATTAGAAGCCATTAAAAGCCATACAGGAAACAAAAGTCAAGCCTTTAGTTTAGCAAATCCACTGTTGAGAAGATACTCTTTTTTATTGTTGTTGTTTTGGTTTTTTGAGACAGAGTTTTTCTGTGTAACAGCCCTGGCTGTACTAGAACTTGCTTTGAAGACCAGGCTGGCCTGGAACTCACAGAGATCCACCTGCTTCTGCCTCCCTAGTGCTGGGATTAAAGGCGTGCACCACCACACCCTGCTGAGAAGATACTCTTAAACCTAGTGTGTATAACAGCATTATTCATAACTACCCGAAAACTAAAATCCCAAAAAGAAACAGAGCCAATGTGAACTCTTTTATGAAACATAAACTGGTTTTCTGAAACTATAAAAAGCAATGCAATCCACAGAAGATGGAATACGCTGATGAGCCAAGAGAAAAAGGAGACCAACTCTATCAAGAGGCATTTATGTAGAAGAACAAATTAACATGGGAAACAAGGGAAAATAAATGCATGTCAACAACTATTAGGAAGGAGGTAGCAGTTTTAATCTACTATCTTTACTTTCTAATTTTAGAGAAAAAATGCATAATGGGAAGAGACTATATATTACAATGGCATTTATCTGAAATTAAGGAATAACCAGTCACTAGAAAATCTTTTCAGCTGGGCTGTGGTGGCGCACGCCTTTATTCCCAGCACTTGGGAGGCAGAGGCAGGCGGATCTTTGTGAGTTCAAGGCCAGCCTGGTCTACAGAGCGAGATCCAGAAAAGGCGCAAAGCTACACAGAGAAACCCTGTCTCAAAAAAAAAAAAAAAAAAAATTTCATTCTTAGTGGGCTTCTACTTCTGGTAGGCAAAAGTCATCAGATAAACGGGGGGGAACCCCTGGGAATAGTCTTAAAATCAGTTGTACTGGATTTTTTTCCTAAATTACCCAAACTTAATGAGAATTGATTTCATTGTCTTAAAAACTATAGACTCATTTCTCTTTACATGTATGTTTTATGAGTGGCTTCTGAGATGGAGGAAGGCTTATCTGATGTGAGCAGGACACACAGGTAAGACAAGCATAAACACCCATTTAGAAGAACTGAAGGCCACACAAAAGGGCATTTTCCTCCTAAAAAACCTCTTTTGCAGAAATGTTAATATAAAGACCAGATCTTAAGTTGTAACTCAAAATGTTAGTGTTTGAAGAAACATGAATGATTAAAATTGTTTTGGAGTGACTACTTCCTGGGCTTTTAAAAATTGAAGATAGCTCCAGAGGAGTAATAAATTTCATTTCAAACATCTTACTATGAAACCATTTATTAGACTAGAATATTTTCAAAGTCAGCATAAATAAGGACACTGTAGCACTAACTGTAATATTAAAAAATAGACTCAGGGCCCAATATTGCCCTTCTGTTTTAGTCTATTCTTTCAGGTGTCATCATTTCAAACCTTCAGTTACTTGCCCTGAAATAAGAGTTAACATTAACAGCAACCATCCTACTAACTGCAGTCATCACTCTGGACATAAAAAAAATCCAGTTACCTGCTGGACATTCAGTTGCTTTAGTACTGGAAAAAGGGACTCATCTGTCTTCGTCTTGTTCCAGCCAAAATACCTCTGACAAAAAGTGCTGTAGTTAAGATTTACAGATTTTTTTTAAGAGACTTAACAAGTAATAAACAAAAAGATCTAAGAGTCAACCACTGATGCCATTCCCTGTATCCCCAGGAAAAATCATATTTATAAAGACGGAAGTGGTCAGATAAAAGGCTGGCAAAACAAGCCACTCTAACACGATCATTTTGCAGCATGTTCTAGTCACTCTCCTAAGGCAGAAGACATTTAAAAATTCATACTAGGACATCAAAGACTCATCACTACAAAGTACGGCTAACCTAGAATAAATGCAAGGAGCAGATATCCTACATACTTGTTTAAGAAAATAAGTTGTGCTGGAGAGATGGCTCAGTGGTTAAGAGCACTGACTGCTCTTCCAGAGGACCTGGGTTCAAGTCCCAGCATCCACATGGCAGCTCACAACTGTGTGTAACTTCCAAGATCTGACAACTTCACACAGACATGTAAGCAAGCAAAACAACAATGCAAATAAAAAAAATATTTTTGCCAGGCAGTGGTGGCGCACACCTTTGATCCCAGCACTTGGGAGGCAGAGGCAGGCAGATCTCTGTGAGTTCGAGGCCAGCCTGGTCTACAGAGTAAGTTCCAGGACAGGCTCTAAAGCTACACAGAGAAACCCTATCTCAAAAAACCAAAAGAAAGAAAGAAAATAAGTCATATCTGGGTTAAATCTCTTGTAGGTATTGAAACCACCATCCAAATTATTATTTAAATGCATAGAATGGAAAGCCATTAATCCTCCATATTCTTTCAGAATAATTAATCTTAAACATGTGGTCATGTCATACATGCTGTAGCTCTTATTTCAAGTTAAGATTCTTACTGAAGGATACTTGCCTCATATGCATGAGGCCAGCATGAAAGAAAGAAAGCAAGAAAGAAAGAAAGAAAGAAAGAAAGAAAGAGAGAGAAAGAAAGAAAGAGAGAGAAGGGAGGGGAAGAGGAGGGGGAGGAGAGGGGGAGGGGAGGGAGGGGAGGAGGAGGGGGAGGAGAGGAGGGGGAGGGGGAGGAGAGGGGGAGGGGAGGGGAGGAGAGGAGGAGGGGGAGGGGAGGAAAGAAAAGAAAAGAAAAAAGCCTCAGTTAAACTAAAGAGGGAAAGAATAGGGTCTCAGCTAAATGGAACACTGGAGAAAAAAACAAAGCTAGTTTTCTGTCTCCTAAGTTTTAAACCCAACAAATCTGTGGCTTAACATTCCCATAAATTTTAAGAAAGGATATTCTCTAATCTTGTCAACATCAGGTTTGCCCCATAGAAACGATCCCCTGGAGTCATCCACCACAGGCCTAAGGTAGGCGTCTGCAACCGCAGGGTTGGGGAAGCCAGGTGTCAGCTGCAACTTCCGTAATTTTTTTTTTACTTTGGTGTCCTGGGGATTGGCTGCAACCTTCTTGTTGTTTTGAGCTTCATGCCACCACTCTCTGTAAGATAATAGAAGCAATTACTTACAAGGCAGGGAGATGTTACAGTTGCCACACTGAAGGGAAAGATACAAATTTAAAGTTCTGAAATGTAATTTCTGGATTCTAGCACAAATGTATGTGGTATGGAATACTAAGCTACAGGGTACAGACCTTACACTGTGTTAAGTATATCACGTGTCATGTCATTACTCTGACTTCTCAAAAGAGGAAGTAACTCACACAGAAGTACCTTGCTCAAGATTTCACAAGTGAGGCTGGACTGTCAGATAACAAATCCCCAGAATGCCCACTCAAACCACAGTAGCACAAAGCCACAACTCTCCAGGCCTCTTGTCAGTGAAATGAATTCAAAAATGGATCCAAAAAATGTCAAGAACAGAGACAGAGCCCACAGCACCGAATGGACTAAGAGGTGAGTCTTTGTCCTCATACCAAAACATCCCAGTCTCTAGGCTTTGGGTCCAGGGGCACAACCCTGTGCCCCCACACCACCACCCACTGCAGGATATGGTTTCATCAGAACCTACATCAGCAAGACCCGAATATCCCAATGCAGAAGAAACAGAAGAAATTGACCTTAAAAATGACATTAAGAAGATGATAGAGGTCATTAAAGAGGAAATGAATAATTCCCTTAAAGAAATCGGGAAAAGACAAACAAAAAATTGGAAGAAATCAGTAAATCCCTGGTGTTGAAGACACAATAGAGGAAATAGATACACCAGTCAAAGAAAACAATAAAGCCAGCAAAGTCATAACACAAAATGTTCAGAATTGAGACTTCATCTTGATGGACTTTCTCTGTGATAAATATGTAATGTCCTTCTTGATCTCTTTCGATTGATTTTAGTTTGAAGTCTATTTTATTAGGTATTAGGATAGCTACAACAGCTTGCTTCTTAAGTCTATTTGATTGGAAAGTCTTTTCCCAGCCTTTCACTCTGAGGTAGTGTCTGAAATGTCTTTGAAGTTGAGGTGTGTTTCTTGTATGCAGCAGAAGGATGTATCTTGTTTTCATATCCATTCTGTTAGCTTGTGTCTATTTATAGGTGAACTGAGACCATTGATATTAATGGATATTAATGACCAGTGAATATTAATTCCTGTTATTTTTTGGTGGTAGTGTTGTGTGTTTCCCTTCTTTGTTGGTGTGGGACTATCTATTGCCTATGTTTTCATGGGTGTATCTAACTTCCTTAGGTTGGATTTTTCCTTCTAGTGCTTTCTGTAGGGCTGGATTTGTGGAAAGATATTGTGTAAATCTGGTTTTATCATGGAATATTTTGTTTATTCCATCTATGGTGATTATGAGTTTTGCTGGGTATAATAGTCATGGTCTCTTAGTGTCTGCATAACGTCTGTCCAGGACCTTCTGGCTTTTAGTGTCTCCATTGAGAAGTCAGGTGTTATTCTTATGGGTCTGCCTTTATGTTACTTGGCCTTTTTCCTTTGCAGCTCTTAATATTTTTTTCTTTATTTTGTATGTTTAGTGGTTTGATTATTATGTGGAGAGGGGATCTTTTTTTGGATCCAATCTATTTGGGGATCTGTCAGCTTCTTGTATATTTACAGGCATTTCCTTCTTTAGGTTGGGAAAGTTTTCTTCTATGATTTTGTTGAATATATTTTCTGTGTTTTTGAGTTGGTATTCTTCTTCTTCTATGCCTATTATTCTTAAGTTTGGTCTTTTCATGGTATTCCAGATTTCTCCACAAAATTGGAAAATCTAAAAGAAATGGACAATTTTCTGGATAGGTACCACATACCAAAGTTAAACTAAGACCAGACAAACTATTTAAATAGACCAATAACCCCTAAGGAAATAAAAACAGTCATTAAAAGTCTCCCAACCAAAAAAAAACCCAGGGTCAGATGGTTTCAGCACAGAATTCTACACATTTTCAAAGAAGAGCTAATACCAATACTCTTCAAATTGTTCCACACAATAGAAACAAAAGGAACATTACCAAACACTTTATGAGGCTAGAGTTACCCTGATACCCAAACCACACAAAGATGCAACAAAGAAAGAAAATTACAAACCAATCTCCCTCATGAATATTGATGCAAAAATACTCAATAAAATGCTGGCTAACGGAATCCAAGAACATATCAAAAAAATTATCCACCATAACCAAGTAGGCTTCATCCCAGAGATACAAGGATGGTTCAACATATGAAAATCTGTCAATGTAATACACCATATAAACAAACACTAGAAAAAAAAAAAAAAAACATGATCATCTCATTAGATGCTGAAAAGCCTTTGACAAAATCCAACCCCAATTCATGATAAAGGTCTTGGAGAGATCAGGAATATACCTAAACATAATAAAGACAATTTACAGCAAGCCAACAGCCAACACCAAATTAAATGGAGAGAAACTCAAAGTGATTCCACTAAAATCAGGAACAAGGCTGTTCACTCTCCCCATATTTATTCAATATAGTGCTTGAAATTCTAGCTAGAGCAATAAGACAACAAAAGGAGATCAAGGGGATACAAATTGGAAAGGAAGAAGTCAAACTTTCCCTATTTGCAGACAATATGACAGTATACATAAGTGACCCCAAAAATTCTACCAGGGACCACCTACAGCTGATAAACACCTTCAGTAAAGTGGCAGGATACAAGATTAACTCAAAAAAATTAGTAGCCCTCCTTTATATAAATGATAAATGGTCTGAGAAAGAAATCAGAGAAACAGCACCCTTTACGATAGCCACAAAAAAATATAAAATACCTCGGGTAACTCTAACTAAACAAGTGAAGGACCTATATGATAAGAACTTTTAAGTCTCTGAAGAAAGAAATTGAAGAAGATATCAGAAAATGGAAAGCTCTCCCATGTTCATGGATAGGTAGTATTAATATAGTAAAAATGGCAATCTTACCAAAAGCAATTTACAAATTCAATGCAATCATAATTAAAATCCCAACACAATTCTTCACAGACCTGGAAAGAACAATACTCAACTTCATATGGAAAAACAAAAAATCCAGGATAGCTAAAAGAATCCTGTACAATAAAACAACTTCTGGAGGCATCACAATCCCTGACCTCAAGCTCTACTATAGAGCTATAGCAATAAAAAACAGCTTGGTACTGGCATAAAAACAGACACTTGGACCAAGATTGGAAATAGATCCATATCTGTTACCACGCACAAAACTCAAGTCCAAGTGGATCAAAAATCTCAACATAAATCCAGTTACACTCAACTTGATAGAAGAGAAAGTAGGAAGTAGTCTTGAATGCATTGGCACAGGAGACCACTTCCTAAATATAACACCAGTAGTACAGACACTGAGAGCAACAATTAATAAATGGGACCTCCTGAAACTGAGAAGCTTTTGTAGGGCAAAGGACACGGTCAATAAGACAAAACGACAGCCTACAGAATGGGAAAAGATCTTCACCAACCCCACATCTGACAGAGGGCTTATCTCCAAAATATTTAAAGAACTCAAGAAACTAGACATCAAAATAATGAACAACCCAATTAAAAAATGAGCTACAGAGCTTAACAGAGAATTCTCAACAGAAGAATCTCAAATGGCTGAAACACGTTTAAAGAATTGCTCAACATCCTTAGTAATTAGGGAAATGCAAATCAAAACGACTCTGAGATACCATCTTACAACTCTCAGAATGGCTATGATCAAAAACACGGAAGACAGCCTATGATAGAGAGGATGTAGAGCAAGGAGAACACTTCTCCACTGTTGGTGGGACTGCAAACTTGTACAGCCACTCTGGAAATCAGTATGGCGGTTTCCCAGAAAATTGGGAATCAATCTACCTCAGGAACCAGCTATACCACTCTTGGACATATACTCAAGGGATGCTCAATCTTACCACAAGGACACATGCTCAACTATGTTCATAGCAGCATTATTTGTAATAGCCAGAAACTGGAAACCACCTAGATGGCCCTCAAGGGAAGAATGGATAAAGAAAATGTGGCACATATACACAATGGAGTACTACTCAGAAGAGAAAAACAATGACATCATGAAATTTGCAGGCAAATGGATGGAACTAGAAAATATCATCCTGAGTGAGGTAACCCAGACTCAGAAGGGCAAACATGGTATTTACTCACTCATAAGTGGATACTAGATGTAAGGCAAAGGATAACTAGACTACAACCCACAGCTCCAGAGAAGCTAGCTAACAAGGAGGACCCTAAGAGGGACACATAGATAGCCCAGTGAAGGAGAAATAGATGAGATCTACATGAGCAAACTGGGAGTGGGGGTGGGGGTAATGAAGGGCAACGAATGGGAGATGAGAACATAAGGAAATGGGAGGTTAAGCTGGAACAGGGAAAGAGATACCATGATAAATGAAGACATCATGGGAATAGGAAGAGGCAGGGTGCCGGGGAAGTTCTCAGGAATCCACAAGGATGACCCCACCTTGGACTACTAGCAATGGTCGAGAGAGTGCTTGGACTGGTCTACTCTGGTGACCAGACTAGGGAATACCCTGTCATCATAGATCCTTCATCCAGTGACTGATGCAAGCAGATGAAGAGATCCATGGCTGGGCCCCAGGCTGAGCTCCGGGAATCCAATCGATGAGAAAGAGGAGGGATTCTGTGGGCAGGGGACGTTGAGATCATGATGGGAAAACGTGCAGAGATGACCAGCCACACTAGTGGAAACCCATGAACTGTGGACTAACAGTTGTGGAACCCCCATAGGACTGGACTAGGCCCTCTGGGTATGGGAGACACTTGTTTAGCTTGTTTGGCTTGAACTGTTTGGGGACATCCAGGCAGGGGATTGGGATCTGTCCCTGGTGCATGGGTGGGCTTTTTGGAGATCAGTGCCCAGGGTGTGACACCTTGCACAGCCTTGGTGCAGGGGGGAGGGGTTTGGATCTGCCCCAGCTGAGTGTGCCAGGCTCTGCTGACTCCTCATGGGAGATCTTGATTTGGGAAATGTGGGGATGGAGGATGGGTTGTGGGGGAAGGCTGGGGGTTGGAAA